TTTTCAAATTTTAATTAAAAAAATACATAATAATTAAAAAATTTTGAAAAAAAAAAGAAAGAAAAAAATTCGAAAAACTCACCTATAAGTAGATTAGAAACCAAAAAACTTGCAAATGCTCAAATCAAGCCCAGATCAACCGATAAACACAGCAGATCTGCAAAAAAAAATTATGGTTAGACTATGGAGCAAAAAAAAATTTAAAAAAAAAAACCAGCAAGATCGCCGACCAAAAACCGGCTGAAAAGAGTTATTTACCTTGGTGGTGGTTGGCCAGAGATTGGAGGAGAAGCTTGCAGTGGAGAGGAAGAAAAAAAACAGAAAAAACAGAGGAAAATTGTGGAGAAATCGCAAAATGGGGGGGACGGGCGAAACAAAGGGAAGAAGGCTGTGCGCAGCCTTATTCAGACCGATCCCGGTCCGAAAAAAATGTCAGTGGGACCCAGCGTCCAATCAATTCAGATATTCCCTTATCCAGACCGATCCCGGTCTGTATATTTTCATTAAAAATAATAATTCATTCCTAATTTTTGTCATTTAATCTTTATTTTTCACGAAAAATAATAAATATACGGACCGAAATCGGTCCGAATATAAAAATGAAATTTCGTATTCTCTAATAGATATATACAGACCGAAGCCTGTCCATATATATTTATTTAAATAATATGTTATTCATATTTTTTGGTATTTAATATTTATTTTTTTCAGAAATAATATTCGGACCGAAAACGGTCCGAATATTATTGGCGCGTCTATACTGTGGATTCCCACCAGAAATATACGGACCGATGACGGTCCGAATATGTTCATTAGTATATTTTCTCTCACCTGAATATATTCAGACCGATATTGGTTCGAATATTTATTTTTTGGACCGACACTATTCGGTCCGTATATGGTCGGTCCGTATACGTCATTTTTCTAGTAGTGGCTACAACACTCTTAAAATTACAGCCCTATGCAATACAATTTTTCCCCCATTTTTTTTAACCCCATTCTATAAAAATGGACGAGAATAACAAATTATTTATTTCATGATAAAAGATGACTAAATAATATGATTGCCTTAACACACACAAACTAAATACAAAGTACATTAATGATGGATGAAATAAACTCTCTATTTCAAACTAGTAGACATTATAAATGAAATATGGAGAGCAAATCACTCAGACCAGTATATATCCATTTCTCTCCAATCTTTTTTCGACGTTCTTAAGGCTTTCCAAACTGCCTTTGATGCATCAACAATGTTGTTACAGCATGGGGGTTGGTAATCATGCTCAGTATCACATCCATTATAGAGTCACATTCATCAACCACTTTGGCCCTGACTATCTTTCCATTTCCATGGATGTTACTGAACTTCAAACAACTGCTCCCCTTGTTGTACCATCCTGTTGAAAGTGCTACTATAGGTTCATCATTCGAACACTACTTATTGTCACATTCAAATTCTGCACCACCATCCCCACCTGCCTCAAAGCTGTTTAGGGTCAAGATTGCCTTTGTACGCCTTGATACTGGGGGCAAACACTTGTAAATTGTAGATGGCTTACCCTCTACACAGCAATCAAAGTCATTCTCTTGGTTGCATTGCCCTCTTGGAGGCTTTTTCCCTTTCTTGCCACTAGGCTTACAAGTTCGAGCTTCAACACATAAACAAGGAAAAGGGGGGAAAAAATGCAAATTAGAAGAAAAATGCTTGTACAAGTTTACTTCCTCTCTACTAGAAATTATGGATATTCAGACCAATTTATTTTGGTCTAAAAAAATTATTAATTCAAACCATAATTAGTCTAAATATTTATTCACCAGGAATGAGTGGTAAGTTTATTGGGAAAATTTTATTTGAGTTGGTAATGGTCCAAAAATTGTTGATGCCAAAATAGTGAAAATGAGCCAAATTTTTTTAGACCATTAGTGGTCTGAATAATTACATTAAAAACAATTGCAAAACAATTTTTTAAGTAAACTAATATTTAAGTGCACGATTTTATTTATTTATTTATTTTTTGATATTTTCGGACCAATACTGGTCTAAAAATTGGACCAGCAGCCCATAACTTTCCAGGCAAATTTTGGTTTGGATAATATGAAATATCTGGATCAATAATAGTCTGAAAATATGGCTCCAACGTCAATCTGACTAAGATTACGTTGGGTCAGCTTTATCCTCTTTTTTCTTTTCTTTTTTTTCTTTTTCTTTTTCTTTTTCAGACTGGTAACGGTCCAAACAAATCTTTGCCAAGAATATCCAAGCTCTTCTTCTTCCTCCATCCCTTCGCTTGTTTCCCATTTCATCCCTCTTATTTTCCTACCAGTTTGCCATTTTGTTGGCCGGATTTCTCCTCCATCATCTACCCATCGGTTACAAAGGTGAGGGTGATTTTTTGGCCAATTAGATATCGGAAATCAATCCCTTTAATTTTTTTCATTAATTTTCAGCATTTTCACCAATTTTTATCTTGAAATCTAGCACCTTTAGCCCAAATCTTACAATCTAAGGTCATCCTCACCGTCATTCATCTTTGATCTACACCCCAAGTGAGGTTTTTTTTGTTTTTGAATTTAGCTTGAATTTTTTTTTTGAGGAAATTGATAAATTTTAATATTGATTAAATAATATTATAAATTAGATGTTGTTTGTATAGATATATTTGGTTGTTTAATTGTGAGTATGGTGTAAAATTTTATGGTATAAGAAAAATAATAAAAATTTGTATTTTACAT